TCCCGATCCAAGTCGGAGTCATTTGAGTCCAATAATCTTCCGATACCGAGTTCAGATCCGGTACTTTACAAAAGCTTTAAGAAAAAAAGAGAACACACCAAAGTTGTCTACGTTTTTTAATCATTCCTTCTTTCTTTCTGTATTTATGCGATTTCTTTAGCTTATCTGCCATAAAACATCACTCGTTCAGGAAGTACATTAATAAGAAATGTGTTAATATTAAGAATACATGTAAACGTAGCCTTGATGCTCTAATTTCAAATAGTTTACACAGTGTGCAGCTATTTGTAGCAACAGGGATGGCATGGCACATAACATCAGCAGCAGGGTAACTCACTTCTACTAAACACCTGCGCTGCTGCTGCATCTGTAAAGTTAGGAAGAGAAAGCAGATCATGACTCTAGGAGTCTTCTAAACCCACGCTTGCACTCATCCAGTGTGATAAATGTGCTGCTATCATGGAATATTTGATGTCCGTGAAATTTTTTTTGGCATATTTTTAGTGGCGGCTGGCTTATCCGAGTTGTTGCAGAAAACTGAGCAGGGTCCGTTTTTTTTTATAAGGTGGTGCATCAGTGTTGAATGCAGCACTACCTTTTTCACAACGTTAAATGCTCAGTTTGCACACATTACATGTGTCTATTACACTCCCCTTGTGGTTCGTTTTAAAATACATCCAAATTACAGACATAATCTCTCTTAGTAGGTTCTGTGTTAGCCTGTTAGCTAACAGCTACATGTTATGGTGTCTAAATTTCCGAGCTACATTAAATTGTGGGATTTTACGTTGTTATCTGCGAAACAAAGAGTACTGATGTAGATGTAAAACAAAGCCATTGTGTTTCCATTAGAAAATCTCACTCTCAGGATGAATTCAAAAAGTAATGTTTGTTGTTTTAAATGGTTAAATCCAATCTTTTTCACCCGATTTGCTGAAAATAACATGATCTGACCCAAATTCTGACCATGTGATCGGATTGGAGCATCCCTAGAAAAAATGATGACTAATTTTACCCTAGAAAGGTTTTAAAAATCTAGAAATTTGTTATAGTTTTACATTTTAAAGAAGATAACTTGATCCTGCACAACACCCCAGAGGAATTTGTTTAAGTTGAGCTGCTCAGACCAGATTATTGAGGTTTATACAAAGTACTTGCTTTGCCTCTTGCTGTGTTCTTTGACCATCCATGAAAGATAACATCTCCATATTTCAAAACGTGGTAAACTTAGCTTTCACCAAGACACCACAGTGCTGGGCGCTTCATGAATACAGCCTGAAGTGTGACAGCAGAGCATGAATGATGTACAATAGATTAGGATGTGATCCAAATGCTTCTCCTTTTACCTCACAGAGGGGAGAAATTCATCAGGATGGAGAGGAGGCAATGAAGAGAGGCCACCAGCTGGCTCAAGCTCTGCCTGCTCCGTCGCTCCAGTGGACAACTTTATTGATTCTAGTCCCTCGTCTTTTTAAAACGAGCACATGACTCACTAGTTACCATGCAGACAGAGGGATTAGGAAACTGATGGAAATGAAAAACAAGACTGTATATTAAAACACGGCTTTAAAGCAGACACACTGACTAAGCTGCACAGCTCAACTGCCTTCACTTCAATCTAAAGACTGCAAATACCAAACACCTCTTCTTTAATGCCAGCTAAATGTTTTGTTTATTCAGCTTTAATGGTTGCACAGGACTCTGAATGCCAAACAGCTGCAATGAAACACAGAACCCTTCATGAGTGAGGTGCTCATAAAGCAGAAGAAAGTCTGACTCTTGGAGTCAATGTTGGTCATGGCTCAGGCGGCATTAAAAATTATGAAATATTTATAACGATAAACAGAGTCACAGATGAGTAATGCATGCAAGTAGGCTAAAAATACGAACACATTTCAAAGAAAAATTTTCTGCGTGCGCAGGAGAATTCATGTCTAGAGTATAAATAACCCACACAAAGAGTTTCTACATATTTAATAATATTTCCAGATAAACTAAAGAACTAAAAGCATTTTAGGGATTGTGAAGGGCCTAAAAGCCTTTGGAGCACTCACTAGTTCATTCAAACTTCTAAAACAAACACATGTGTGATTGTCAATTTACATCAACATTAAAGGACATGCATTATGTTATTTTCCACCTTCCAGAGCAACGATGGGCACTCTATAGGGCTGAGGATACTGAGGATTTCACCTCAATAATAATAGACGATAACTACAGGAATGCGCAGAAACATTGTCCACTAGATGGAACTGTCATGTGTATGACGTTGAGTCACATTTTTACGTGACTCAAGGTGGTGCAACTTCTTCAAGGGACATGAATGTTGCCAACCTACACACATCTTTTAGTTTTTTTTTTTTGTTATCAAATTTATTGACATGGGGAAATTTATCGCGATATTTCAGAAATGTCGATAACGATAAATCTTCGATTTACTGCCCAGCCGTAGCACAGTATAAGATAAAATATTATTGCAGGGACTATTGAGATGTCATTTTTAAATTAAATGTAAGTTATTTTCATGAACCCTTCAACCCATAAATAAGATGCTTGGATTCGATCAAACCCCGCCTCCCCCTGTGTGAACTCCACAGTAGTACATACATAGAACTTATAACAATCAGCTAGAGGCTAGCGGTTAGCATTCTGTTTGTACTCACAGCTCTGGCTCTACACTGGGTGGTTTAAATGAAGGAATGGCGACAGTTTGAAGAAGTGATCCATCTGAAAACTAGGGTTGCACAATAAATCACAAATGTATAGTCATCTCGATATCGGCAAGCGCAATATGCATATCGCAAAGAACAGCAAAAAGCTGCAATGAATGGTCAGCTCAAATGTCTGCTACACATAGTTTTTGACTAATCAAATAGAACTCTTGACCCATTTGGCCAAGCTGGTGGGTTCTTATAGGTTAGATTCCCCCCCCGCTAGGCGGATGACACTTAATTTGGATGGCTAGCAAACATCTGAGTTAGCTTCGTTCTGCTATTCATGCTGATTCTGCTTTTCCCAGGATCCACTTATTCCTTTTGTATTCTGTTTTTTTTTTTACTTTCTTCACATCTTTTGGTCACAATTTTTGCTTTTTCATGATACTTTTTAGTTATTTTTTTATTTTTCAATGTCTTTGTTTTTTATTTTTTGTTCTTGAGTTAAGTATTTGTTTATTTTATTGCAAGTCATGTCGTTATTGCAATATTAATTCACTGTTATCGTGTATAATAGGTTTTCCTAATATTGTGCGGCCCTATTGAAAACCCACCAGTCTGTGAAATCGTGGTCATATTCTGGCTCCGTTTTTGAGAGTTCCTGAAGATAAAATCCAACCATTTCTGCAGATTACAGCCTTCTTTAAGAAGTCTGGACAGGGATCCTGTAGCTCTCACAAGCAAAAATCCATTTTTGAGCTCTAGGCATTACTTAAAGTGCAGACTCGATAAGACAGAAATCATTTCTAAACAAATATGGACATTAAACACCCCACTAGCTACACAGAGAGACTGGGTGTTAGTGTTTGCACTCCAGAGGAGGAATCCAGACTTGGGAGACTACCTGGATGGGAGGAGCCGGTTGTAGTGACATAGGAACAACCCCATCCAGCCTTTTGCAGTGGCTTAGCAAAACTTTGCAGAGCTGAAGGTATGAAGCAGCTGAGACAGGAAAAGGCATGTGTGAACCCGAAAACCATTTGAGGGGCGTTTTTCATAAGGAAAAAACAAAAAAGCATGGTCAAATGCTCCAAAAAGCTGTTTTTGCATGATATATAGGACCTTTAACAATTTAACTTTTAATAATCATTACACTGCAGAAGATGCTAACAATGCAGTCAAAGTGTCTGTTTTAGATTCATTACATATTGAGATAGTTGTGTGATGTATCAATGCTGAGCCTAAAAAACAGTTTTGTCCTTTGAGAGAAAGTCTAACAACAACAAGATTTTCACTGATCAGATAACTCAGGTAAAAAGCCTCAAGGACACAACTTCACTCCAAGTATGCTAGTTCTAGTGATGTGTTTATCTTTTTATTACTGTTTTTTTTTTCAGACCGAGAAGGCATGGATTGGATCCTAAACAGAAAATCTCTCCATTCTCTGGTGTTAAATCCAGCATCTGCCTAGGACAGGCCTTATCAGCCACTGAGAATATCTCCCTTGTTCTGCAGTATAAAGACACTGGCAGTTGTCAAAGCTCTTTCATCCTTGAACCCATGTCTCAATAGAGCTATAAATAACCCGTCTCTAAGACTCCACTCATGTCCAGCTCATTAGAGCCCGACGTTACACCGAAATAATGGCCACAAGACCCCCCCCAAAAATAAATAAATAAATAAATAAATGAGCACAGGCTCTACACTGCGAGGTGGAAATACAGTAAAAGAATTGATGCATGAAAATGTAAAAAAAAATGTCAATTTCTTGAAAGTTATAACAGAAAACTTGCATGGCTAGAAGAGTCTTTTCTTTCATAATTTTCCCTCCTTTCACATCTCTTTGACTGACTGATATGTCAAAACCAGGATTCAGCTCGGAGAATCCACACAAACAGCAAGGTAAAATGAGATGATCTGGCCAATACTGCTCCTTTTACCAACGGTGAATTCCTTGAGACCACGACAGCTAAGCTCAGTATCATTCATTAATGTCCCACCTCCTCATTACTATCTCCTCGCACTTTTGAAAGACTCATTACCTGCATAATGGAATAGTGCTTAGAACAGTCAGACCTTTCTTTTGCGTGAATTAATCACCTACACGCACAGACAAAAAAGAAATCCTCAGATTAAATATTAAGAAACTTCTACCTCTGCTTTGCTACTTTCTCAAACTTCTGCAAGGTGTACTTTTTCTCTTTTTTGTTTGAAGTGCTCTGGCAGGGATACAACAGAACTGCCATTTCAGACTGCTCCTCTGCTTCCCACATGTCTGCAAGGCCAGCGTGCCCAAAAATAAAAAAATAAAAAAATAAAAAAAAGAAGAAAGAGAGATATACTTACAGTTGACTGTGACTTTTACTGTTTTGGTGTCAGGAGAGGCAATGTCATTTAAAGCGCTGCACTCGTAGTCTCCAGCTTGGTCCCTCGTGATGCCGGTGATGTTAAGATATTCGCCACTTTCATGTTTCCTGGCTGGAAAGAAAGAAATGGAAGCAAAGTGCTTTACAACATGTCTACACAGATTATGAACACACACTTCCCAAACAGACACTCACTCTACACCACAAGGCTTTCTGTAGTCTACGGTCAGTGTGTCGAAAACTCTCATTTGTGCTACAGCTTTCAAGCCTGAGTAGAAGATGCATTACAATTAGATGTTGTATTGAGCTCCTGGTTGCCCTTGCTCCAATCTAAAGCAGCATCGGTCTATATTTATTGATATAGTGGAAAGAAATAGTAGTGTAGTCCCAGTCATACACTCATTGGTTCAATTCAGAACATGCAGTTAGAGCTACCTCCTGAAGTACAAGCAGATGCAGTGGCTGAATGAGTATTACAGCCCAACTACTAGGAATGTGCATTGGTGAAATTCTGGCGATACAATACATATCACGATACAGGGAAGACGATGCGATGTGTCACGATATATTGCGATACATTCAGTCAGACGATATTAGAGTTATTTTAGACTGACTTTATTGTAGGAACATTCAATAAACAGTCCAAACTGATACTTAACAAGTTTAACATGAGTTATCTGAACCATAATAGAGAGATTTACATTTCAAGGGTGGAAAAAAAAACATTGCACACTGCTGCAGACTAGTGGCTGGTGTTTAAATTGCACCAAAATAAAAGAAAATACACAAATGTTTGCATTTAAATTCTTCCCAAAATTAGATGCACAGCTTTTGAATATCAATATAATAATGCAGGAAAAATATCACCATATATTGCCATTTCGATATTTTCTTACATCCCTACTAACTACCATGGCTAGTCACATCTGGAAAATTTAAAACCTGCAAAAGCCACACAAAATTCTGTGCTCAATGTTCTAATTAAAAGAAAATTTTAATGTACCAACAACGCTGCCACTAATAGACTTGGGTTTAAGTTGCACGTTTATGGCCATTAGGTCCTAAACGAGAAAACTGTGAGATACAAGGATAATTTAGTTTAAATCATGAGATAGAAGCATGCAAGAAAGGGGAATTGAACTGGTCCTTAGTTGTGTTGCTCATTTTAACACTAGTTCCTATAGATATAATAAGTGTTCTATTTAGCCATTTAAAGACGCATGCACATAAATGGTGCCAGTGATGTTTTCTGCAATTGCTAGTTCATAGTCAAGACAACAAAAGCTGGAAAGCAAATGATGGCTCTGACACAGCTTTATCTCAAACAAAAGAATGCAAATGAAGTGTACCTCTGTCAGTGTTCAGCACATGACACTTATTTAACATTAGAGCTACCATGAATACGATGATTCACTGATGGATAGAAAGTTAATTGGCTGCTATTTCAGAAGTGAATTAATCAAGCTAGTCATTTATCGAGTAAGCAAAGTTCCCAGCCTCTCAACGGGAGGAGGTGACACTTTGCTTTGTCTTGAATGCAAACTTCACAATGCTGATCACATAGGAAGCCATTGCCTTGAAGAATGACAAATGGTGTGGATGTTTCAGTTTTATGAACGTTAGGTGTACATAACTTAATAGACAGTAACTGTAATTGGTAGAAAAAGCTAACGTCTAAAACTGCCCACAGTGTAACAGGGTCAAATGATTAGAAGTGTTACTTGATAATTCAGATGATAAGACACCTGGGGCTGAACATAAAACAATAATTGTACACATATTCCAGGTTTCTTAGTTTAATTATTCACATGGGAAATTATTCATCACTTTACCAGTACCATACAGAAGGTCCTCCTAAGACCTCTATTGATTTACAAGTCAATATTGCTGGCAGTGAAACTTAACATATTATTCTTCATTAATATGTTATTATTATTCATGCCACGTGGTATGATGATGATTACTGGAATTAGGATTTATTATTTTCACTGGTATTTAATGTGGTGTTGGTTAGTCGTGTCTTATATACCATCTTACGTCATTTCCTTTTGTTTTTATTTCTAATTAGCATAATTACTTGAACTCAGTGCACTGATCAGTGGGTTCAATCGGAATGTTTACTTAGTAAAGTGCCTTGAGACGATGCTTGTAATTTTGTGCTATAAAAATCAACTGAATTTAATTTATTTGAATTAGTTTTTGGTGGGGTACCTGATTCAGAAGGAAAACTAAAACATTGCTGCAGTTGACCAGAAAACATTTGCCTCTGAAAATACCACTTTGTTAACATAAAAGATTTATGAACTTAAAGAAAGAGCTAGAATCACTTGTGGTTGGTTCATGTTCTTTGGTGATAAATCTCTTGCTGGTGAAGGTTCTCAGTCATCCAGGTCCAGTTAATCCAAAGGGTTTGAATTATGGCATCTGGACTTCTTTAGTTTCTTGAAGACATGTGGCTTCTCATCCAAGGAGATGTGCCAATTCTGACTGGAATGTAGGAGAGTCAAGTTTATAAGCTGTACCTGTCTATTGTTGTTTAATGAGCAGAAACTACGCTGAATACCCCTCCCTCTACCTCTGTATGAGTTGTTAGCCTCTATTGTGAGGGAGTT